TTTACATAGTGGTAATGGACAAAATAATTATTGGCACCCAAGTGTAAAATACTATTTAATTTACAAGAGGACACTCTCTCCAGTAATTACTGTTACTGCATTCAAGTTGAATTCGAAATTCCCTTCATTCACTTTGTCTTTTCCTTAACTTCTGATCTTTCTTCTATTTAAATTCATAAGAATCGTTTGAAACATCAAATGACTCGTATATTCGCGTTTACTGATTCTATCCTGAGACGAGAGAAATAAAACTGTGATTTCGTAGTTTCGTAAATATTTCACGTATGAGATTTTACCAAATTTTTCCTTAATATCTTGTGATTTTGTATATTGCTAATGCGAGGGAAAGTAACGTTTCTTCAGGAGAAATTTCGATTTATTGTACATTGGAGAAAATCCTTACAGATGGTAGAAAACATTTAGTTTCGTGAAGTCTGTTGCTCGTATTTTGTTATTATCGCTACCAGTCTTAGGCACTGGGCGTGTTGGGGTATTAACTATAGTGGCATAGTAATTAAATAAGCTTTATGAGTAATGTGTCTTCCAATGAAAGTTCATTATCCAGATAAGAGGGGACACAGCTTGGTCTTAAAGCCATGGGCATTTGTATCAGTTCATCGGAAATTTTTGAAAGAGATAAATTGTCGAATACTTAATATTTATTGGCTGCCTAATTGAGCATCAGTGAAATATAATGAGTTTCTGATTTATCGCATTCCGAAATATGATTTTATATCGGTTTCGTGTACGTACTAAAATCGACAACAATTTGTTCCTTCGCCACTAATGAATATTTCCTGAACAACTTCTCTTTATAATATAGTCACTCCGCATTTACAATTTTGATTTATGAGTTTGATTTCACTGATTAATTACAAACATAATGCGTTAATGTTTTTTTCACTCTTTCTTTGAGTTACGATTACCATTTCTCTCAGGGGAGCAAGACTGTTGTTTTTGTGTCACACTTGTAATACTGTAAATTGTCTAAATGTAAAATGATGAATTGAATTAGCAGATTGCTTGAAATTAAATGTGCATTAAAATCACTCGGTAATATTCCGATAATTTTCAGGACACCTGCTAGTTTTAACAGAATTCACTAATTCAATTTTTTTTTAAATTAAATTTATAAATCGTGAAAGGAATAGAACATACTTACAAATAGTTTATAAAACTATTTTCCTGCCAACTATATTTGATGTATACTCAGTTGTCTAATGAAGAAAGTGTCTGTAATTTTCAGTCTCTCTCTGAAAACGAGATTTTATTTTGCTCTTAGAATTTTCCCACTCAGCCTATCGACTTCGTGTATCGTACCCGATCAAGTAGAAACGTATGTGTTATATAATTTTCTACAATCAATAGTTTTAATACAATTATTATGACGTGTCGAGCAAACGAGTATTGTTTATTGTACTTGTTGCAATTTTTTCTGGGCAGAATCCCATCCGGATTACCGATGGTCCTGATTTTTGACATCGGAATTTTGAACATTCTATTGTAGCAAATTTTTGGGGCTGTATTTGTGTCCGCGCCAGAGGGCGATGGACGCCCATGGGCGGTCGTGAGGCGCGCGTCGTTGCATCCTCTCCTCCCCTCCCCTCCCCTCCCCCCCCCTCACTCGCTCAACTCAGTCGCCCACGCACATTAGGATTCATGAGCGCCCGCCCGAAATATCCCGGCGGTGACGCCGCGGCGGGGAGCGACGGGTGGGAAGCATTGTCGCGAGCGGGCCACTCGGCGAACGAAGAGGATCAGCGTGCTAATGAAAACAAGAAAGAGATGATGGGGAAACAGTGTGGATGATGTACAAGGATATGAGCAGAAGGAGCAAGACGGCCATGAGTAGGGCTGGGATATGTTTGTAAATATTGCCCAAATATGCAAAATGAAATGACTTTTCTAAAATGCGAAGAAATGTGACTATGAAGCTTAATTTATGTCTTAAAAACGAAATCATTCGAATGGTATATTATGTTATTTATTAAATGGGGTGTTAATGGTTAAGAATTACCTTATTTACTTTCAGACGATTGATAGAAAGAGTGAGATCCCGCTATCCTGAAATCATACAGGAAACCCACTACTTTACAAGTACTATTATGTATAATTTAAATTGCATTATAGCCAATATCAAATGCTCTAAATCTTAATAATTCTAAAGCAAGGCAGACTGGCAATTGTTTCATGAGAGTTCATAGTTTGTCTTCTGAATAGAGAGATGAGTGTTGAACCGGCGGCGGCGCTGCCCCAACAGGGTCGGACGGAGCTGTGTTGGTATGCATATGGCGTCGCCGACGTCCCGTGGAATCAGGCGATGCGACGCGCCTCTCCTCCGCTGAAGCAGCAGAGGACAGTCCCAGCGCAGCACAGCTCCGACGCGGTGACCCGGCAACTTACGGCTTTGTGCTTTGTGTTCAAACTCCAGTTGCCATGAACTCCACTTTGTTTGGGCTTTTTCGGAAGTATTCGTGCCACGTTTATTGGTTTTGGTCTCGAGGCTGATTCATTATGCATGCTGTTTGGGATACCTCCCTACGCGAGGGCTCTCATGTTTCGAATAATGTTACCGTAGAAAATGTACATTGGTCGGCTTGTCGAGGTATATTACTTTCAATGCTAACAAAGATAATATCACTGAAAGGGTTCGAGGCAATTCTTCCCGGAAAAAAAGTAAATTTCCTGGTAAAATGTAATAATAATAATAATAATAATAATAATAATAATAATAATAATAATAATAATAATGGTATAAAATGTGGTGTAAATGTGATATTAAATGTATAAAAAAGAACTAAGAACTTGACATATATTTACGGAGATATGAGAAACGGTTAATTCCGGAATAAGTGAACTACTTGCTTCGGAATTCGAAAGGAATTAATAAGGTGGGCCGATGAGCTGCTGAAACCGAAAGCTGCTACGTACAGGGGTTGGGCTTGAGCGTCTGCAATCATCTGTATTGTTTCTGGTATATATTTGTTACAACTCTTGACTGAAACTTGGTTAAATTGCGAAATATCCGGATAATGCACATATTATCCAAAGGGTTTGAGTGAATGATGAACGGATCACTCAGGACGTCATCCATCTAGTGTCTGCGTTAGGCAAAGGGAGCTGGGTAAAGTAAGGTGATGGTGCGAGTTTGAAGCAAGAAGCATTTTGACATAAATCGCATTGGAAATTATGCGGCCTAAGTTTGCTAATGGAAATGGCGAAGTGCCTCGTCGCTAACTCGCAACTGCGTAGCGAAGCGACATCTGAGATGCATCGTGGAGTAAGGTTATCGTGTAAATAGAAATGTACGTCTTGCACAGTGGATCTCGAAACTCCTCACCTTGTGTCTCACCACCCTAGAAACTTCTCACAAACAGTATGATCCCTCCTTATCACATAACATGTATTCCTCGTCACCACAACGCGCTAGCCACATCGTTTTGGCTCAAATGCATTTTCATCCGGCGATGCTGTTCCTTCGAACTTTATCCAATATTTTTGGCCGCGAATATGAACAATATTTGAATAATTCGCTAATTAGACAGACCCAGACATTGGTCGTAACAAACACACGATTTGCGACTTTCACGCGTAACCGATCCAAGCAAATGAGACACAGTACCAAAAGAAAGTATTGTCAGAGAAAGGAAGAATTGCAATTGCACTCGAAAAAAAAAATATTAAAATTATTTTTAAAAAACGCAAAAAGCAAATAATCTGTACGCTATCTTCCCGACGCGTTGCTATAGAAGGCGACGCGACACGTCTCGCTGTAATGCAAGTTTATGTCCCGCCTCCCCACCCCACCCCATCCCCGCACCAGCTCACTCAGTCCGCCCCGGATGCGCAAGTTAACGCGTGCAGAACGCCCCCTCCCGTCTAGCCCCGGACGATTGAAGCGTCCTGCGCGGCGGTCGGCAGAACGATCTCGTCTGCGTCGCCCCTCCCCCCTGTTCTACACACCCCGCCAGATGCCACGCCTCCCCACATCGTTCTTTTTCTGCCTCCCTCTCCGCCTAAAGGCATTGTGTTTCATGTGAAAGTTTTTTTTTCTTCCTCTTTAAAATGAAGGGTGGAGTCACTCACGTTCAGCTCTATGGCGAGTTATTGGAGTGTTTTGTTTTATGTAAAATGGATTTTTTAAAGCTTGAATATATAGCAAATGCTTAACCATTAAGTCGTTAGAAAATGTTGATATTTTATTGAAACCTTATTACAAAGGTTTTTTTGTATGTCGTTTATGTTGAATAGTAATATAATTATTAGTACTCCAAAATAAACGTGTCATCAGTCATTATTTTAATACCTAGTCATAATTGTACCAATTCTTCTTCTTTCTTCGACACTTGAAGGGTTAAGTTCTGAGATCCTGATTCGATGTCCATTTTCGTCTTGGTCATCGTACATTTCTCCTTCCTCTGCATCTGGAGCCCATTCCGAGTGCTGGCTTTATAGATGTTCACGCCATCTCGTCTTACTTCTCTTCTGTTCTTCCAGCGGTTGTTCGAATCCCAATTCCTTTCTTATTTCTATTTATTTTTTTGTAATATTGTATAACAAAGAATGCTTGTCATGAATTTCATTTCTGCTGTCTGGAATCTGAAGTTATCTTTCTATGATATAACTCTTGCTTTGTCTCCATATATTACCACTGGTAGAGCTACTGTAATAAAAAAATGACGGTTTCGTCTCTCAGTGTTCTGTTTTTAAACATACCTGTATTGAACCATAACTAATTCTAAACTTATTTATATTTGGTCTAAACCAATTGTAATGAATTTGTATCAATTGAAAACAATTGTTGTAATGAAATCTGAAACCATGATAAATGACTAAATTACCTTAGGAATAATGTTTTGGAATGTCAAACGGTGGAGGAAAATATTTGGAATCCACGTTCAATGGGTCAAGCGGCCTCTAATTTGTGAATACGAGTTGAGCGTGCATATTTTGTCGTTGCGAATGCTGTTCTAATGGGTTGTGTGTGTGTTTGTGCGCAGGCGCGGTCGGAGGAGCTGCTGGCGAGCGAGCGCGCGTGGCTGGAGGCCGAGCGCCTGTGGCTGGCGCACCGCGCAGGCTTCACCGCGTGCCGCCGCCTGCCTCCCGACCATGCCCTCTCCCCGGCGCCGCCCTCGCCCTCGCCCGCACCCTCGCCGTCGCCCACCGCTGCCGACGCCCCCGACGGCCACCCCGACGCCCTCGCCCACGCCCACGCGGGCAAGGTGCCCGTGCGCGTCGAGGCCTCCGGGGAGACGCTGCTCGTCGACGAAGATGACGTCGAGAAGGTGAGGCCAACCACGCCCCCCTCCCCTCGCTCCCCGCTAAGAAATGTTCATTCCGGGTTCGCCAACTAGTCCTGGGAGTGCACAGTGATTCGCCCGCCGGCAAAGGACTGATGACACTGGGGTGCCTATGATAGGGAGGCCCTAGCGGTTGCACTCCCTACGGTGACAGGACTTGCGATACATAGCTAGGTCGAATTGCACGTCAGTTCGTGTAAACGGAGAGCAGGGGACAAGGATGAGAAAGAAAGGTCGCGCGCCCGTTTGTCAGGAAACTGTTGAGGCATTCGCCTTGTGTTGATCGAAGAACCCACGCAAAACCACGAACGAAAGCAGAAGTCGCCAGGCAGAGAGTGAATTCAACTGACCTATGTTGCTACTATCACAAATCTTCCACCGACGGAACTCTAATCTTAGGACCTCTCTGCCAACGATGCTGCAGGTGCCTGGAGCTACTGCAGGCACTTCCCCCGGTTATTGTTAAAGAGTCCCTTGTTCCTTCAAGCGAGAATTGCAAACTTAGTTCGCTCTCGTTTTAAATTCGTTGCCGTCGAAGTTTACAGCCGGCGTCAGCTTGGTTTGCAAACCCAGCTGTTTCGTGTAGCTCTTTCTAGCTGGAGGGGTGCCCAACGCAACCCTGGTTTTAAGGGAGGCCAATTGGGGTCGAATTCTGGCTCAACCAGATGCGAGTTCATGCACTCTGGTGTGCGGAAACTTCAAAACCAGACTGTCCATCTTGGAGTCTCAAAACCTCATCATAGGACCTTTTAGTAAAGCATGATAGAGCACACACACATACATTATAAATTCCAGGTAGTTAAAAGACTTAAAATGTCCGTAATGAGTAATTGGCCTCCTTTCCCAGTTCCTCATTATCGACGTTATTATCGCGATGTGTATTCGATGTATCTTCGAAATGAGCGTATTCTTTTTAAGATCGCGGCTTGTTCTTATAAGTAATTATCCACCCGATTTTCAGCTTGTAGTAAATAAATTGCATTGATAAATGTCATACAGAAGAAGATAACTTTTATTGTTTGCTTAAACGGACTACAAAGACAGTCTAAATTAAACAAACATATGTAGCTGAGACAAAGTTTTATTGCTTGATGACATCAGGAAATTCACATATTTAAATAACAGGCGGGAAGGATTTTTATTAAGTAAATTCGTCAGAATCGTTCTACAAAGAAGTTGAACAACTTATTTACGACGGAAAGTTCTGTTGACATGGAAACTAACAAATACATCATGACTGCTCTATAGTAAATAATTCGTGTAAACATGCAATGTTATCACTGCGTGAAATAAATGGCACTCTGTGGGCGACATGGCACTCTGGACCGTTCGCATCCCACATTCGTGGCTCCGTCGTTCCAAGCCTTGGTAAATCACCAACAGTCTCGTCACTAACGGAAATGAGTAAAGGTCCAAGGTTTGTTGCTTTATGATGACCAAATACTTCCATATAAAACGGTGAAATCAAAAAATATCGTTTACATTAAGAGCGTTTTTTATCATTTAATCTCGACTACGATGTGTTGAAAGTTGAAGTATTGTAAGTAGTGATGACTCGTGCTTGTAGTAGCATGTTTGTGCTAGAAAACAAATTTTGTTTCAAAATACTAGGATTCATTTACATACTTACTCTCGTGACACAGTATTGTATAACAATTTTCTTGCCTTAATTGCAATACGAATACTATTGCATTCACAATATTAGTAAATACTGTCCCGCACGTCCTATGGCTGGACAGCCCGCTACGGGCCTCTGCCGACCAGTGGTGACCCAATCTCTCAGCCTTGGTATAAGGGTTTCGTGTGGTAGCCCTTCACCATATATTCTGGTCTTCACAACCTTAGTGTGGGCTTTCTCATCGTCATACAGCAATAAATACTGGAACATTTGTAGGGAAAGCGCACAGTTGTAATTTAGCGCCGCCGCGATTTGTAAATACTAATAGTAATGGTAGTAAATTAGTAATAGTGAATACTAATCAAATGTACTATTGTAGATTTAATTGTCAGTTGAATATATATATATATAAGTTGCGTCAGGATAGGAATTTTGTTAATATAAGTGAATTAAGCAACAAATATATTAATAAGCATGACACCAGTTTTCTTTATTTTTAATGTATGTTGTAAGAAAATAACATAAGTATACGCGAAACTGTCATTAACAGAACTTGGACCAAATATGTTGGCAATGTAGCTTCACTATGCGCACGTTTTGTGGAGCTCTCCTTTCGCTCCTGTGGAAAGAGGATAGCCGGTTGATATCGCTTCGCTTTCTTGGTACTTTTATTCACCATTGCATGTAGAGTAAAAAGTTGGGGATGATATTCTGAAGCTCAAGACTATGTACCCAGTTAAATTCTCCCAATCAAATGTCATGTAAATTGTAATGTATTGCTTCATTTAGCATATTTATTTAATGCACTGGTTAATGTTTGCATTCTTTAATTTATTAACAATTTGAAAATGAAACAGTAACAGAAAAAAAGTAAGTCGGTTCCCTTCAAATTGCTCGTGCCTGGATCTACTCGTCTCTCCGGGAGGCGACGTGTCCTAGGCACAGGTGCCAAAGATTCGGTCGTCATTTTGAGACCTTCCTCAGACCTAAACGTTGGCAACTGTGTCTGGAACGCGGCTACTCCAGAACGTCCAAGTAGTTACCGACTCCTGCCGCGAAAACATACCTTTCATTTCTTTCCATTTGCCCATGCCCGATTGCACCGTTGCTTGTGTCTGAGCGTGTGTGTGTGTGTCGTGTGCGCGCAGGCCAACCCGCCGCAGTTCGACCGCGCGGAGGACCTGGCGCAGCTGCGCTACCTCAACGAGTCCAGCGCCCTGCATACGCTGCGCCAGCGCTTCGGCAGCAACCTCATCCACACGTACGCAGGCGGCTCCATGGTGGTTGTCAACCCCATGGCGCCCCTCG